TATGTAATATATGAGCTTCACTTTCTGAAATGACTGACAAAAAAAATGAACATTTTAAAAGTACAGTATTCTACCGTAATTTTTTTAGATGCACCTGTGTGTGTCCACGCGTGCATGCGAGTGTGTATAATTGTGCATCCAGTTCAACTAATTTATAGTTAGTTTATATAGCAACAATTCATGTGGGTGAGTTGTTAACAGAGATTAGAGAAGGTGAGCCTGTGTTCAAGAGGTCGCCAGCTCGAATTCCCTACCGTTACATCAAAATATGGGTGGGAAAGGTAGAGCACCCACACCAGCCTTCACCCTCATTTGCTCTGGGCCCTTGAGCAAGGCTTTTAATCCCCTAAGGCAACCCTCTGCTCCCCACATGTGGGGTTGTGGTATCTCAGTAGTCAGTGGTTACGTCAGGAAGGACATTTGGTTAAAAAAAAAAAAACAGTTGCCAAATCTTTGCACAAGTTACCTTGCTGTGGTAAGCCCTGAAGACGGGAGCAGCCGAAAGAAGAAAAAAAAAAACTATATCCATTCATCCATCCATCCATCCATCCATTTTCTTCCGCTTATCAGTGGGGCGGGTCGTGGGGGTAGCAGCTTAAGTAGGGAGGCCCAGACTTCCTTCTCCCCAGCCACTTGGGCCAGCTTCTCCAGGGGAATCTCGAGGCGTTCCCAGGCCAGCCGAGAAACATAGTCCCTCCAGCGTGTCCTGGGTCTTCCTCTGGGTCTCCTCCCAGTGGGATGTGTCCGGAACACCTCACCAGGGAGGTGTCCAGGAGGCATCCTAAACAGATGCCCGAGCCACCTCAACTGGCTCCTCTCGATGTGGAGAAGCAGCGGCTCTACTCTGAGTCCCTCCCGGATGATCGAGCTTCTCACCCTATCTCTAAGGGAGAGCCCAGACACCTTGCGGAAAAAAATTATTTTGGCCGCTTGTATTCAAGATCTCGTTCTTTCGGTCACAACCCAAAGCTCATGATCATAGATGAGGGTAGGAATGTAGATGGATCGGTAAACTGAGAGCTTTGCCTTTTGACTCAGCTCTCTCTTCACCACGACAGACCTGTACAGCACCTGCTTCACTGCAGACGCTGCACCTATCCACCTATCAATCTCACGTTCCATTTTTCCCTCATTCATGAACAAGACCCCAAGATACTTGAACTCCTCCACTTGGGGCAGGACCTCCTGCCTGACCTGGAGAGGGCACTCTACCCGTTTCCGGCTCAAGACCATGGCCTCAGATTTGGAGGAACTGATCCTCATCCTGGCCGTGTCGCACTCGGCTGCAAACCACTCCAGCGAAAGCTGTAATCATGATCTGATGAAGCCAATAGGACCACATCATTTGCAAAAAGCAGAGACGCAATCCTAAGGCCACCAAAACGGATCCCCTCAACACCTTGGCTGCGCCTAGAAATTCTGTCCATAAAAGTTATGAACAGAATCAGTGACAAAGGGCAACCTTGGCGGAGTCCAGCTCTCACTGGGAACAAGCCCGACTTACTGCCGGCAATGCGGACCAGGCTCTGACAACGGTCATACAGGGACCTAACAGCCCATATCAAAGGGCCCGGTACCCCATACTCCCAGAGTACGCCCCACAGGGTTCCCCGAGGGACGCGGTCGAACGCCTTCTCCAAGTCCACAAAGCACATGTAGACCGGTTGGGCAAACTCCCATGCACCCTCCAGGACCCTGCTGAGAGTGTAGAGCTGGTCCAGTGTTCCACGACCAGGACGAAAACCGTACTGCTCCTCCTGAATCCGAGGTTCGACTATCTGATGGACCCTCCTCTCCAGAACCCCCGAATAGACCTTACCAGGGAGGCTTAAGATCGTGATCCCCCTGTAGTTGGAACACACTCTGCGGTCCCCCTTTTTGAATAGGGGGACCAGCACCCCGGTCTGCCAATCCAGGGGAACTTCCCCCGATGTCCACGCAATATTGCAGAGTCGCGTAAGCCATCAAAACCCTACAACATCCAGAGCCTTAAGGAACTCCGGGGGAATCTCATCCACCCCTGGGGCCCTGCCACCAAGGAGGGTTTTAACCACCTCGGTGACCTCAGCACCAGAGATTTGAGGGCCCGACCCAGAGTCCCCAGGCTCCAGTTCCTCAGTGGAAGACATGCCGGTGGGATTGAGGAGGTCTTCAAAGTATTCTGCCCACCAACCCACGACATCCCGAATTGAGGTCAGTAGCACACCACCCCTACTATAAACAGTGTTGGTGGTGTACCGCTTTCCCCCCCGAGACACCGGATGGTGGACCAGAATCGCCTCGAAGCCATGCGGAAGTCGTTCTCCATGGCCTCTCCGAACTCCTCCCATGCCCGAGTTTTTGCCTCAGCGACCACCCAAGCCGCATGTCGCTTGGACTGCCAGTACCCATCAGCTGCTTCCAGGGTCCCACAGGTCAAAAAGGCCTGATAGGACTCCTTCTTAAGCTTGACAGCATCCCTCACCACCGGTGTCCACCACCGGGTTCGAGGGTTGCTGCTGCGACAGGCACCGACAACCTTGCCGCCACAGCTCCAGTAAACCGCCTGGACAATAGAGGCACGGAACATGGCTCACTCAGACGCAATGTCCCCCACCTCCCCCGGAACATGTTCCATGTTCTCCCGGAGGTGGGAGTTAAAGCTCCGTCTCACAGGAGACTCTGCCAGACCTTCCCAGCAAACCCTTACATTACGTTTGGGCCTGCCAGGTCTGACCGGCATCCTCCCCCACCATTGGAGCCAACTCACCACCAGGTAGTGATCAGTGGACAGCTCCACCCCCTCTTCACCCCAGTGTCCAAGACATGTGGCCGCAGATCAGATGAGACGACGACAAAGTCGATCATCAAACTGCGGCCTAGGGTGTCCTGGTGCCAAGAGCACATATGGACACCCTTATGCTTGAACAAGGTGTTCGTTATGGACAATCCATGACAAGCACACAAGTCCAACAACAGAACACCACTCGGTTTTAGATCGGGGGGGCCGTTCCTCCCAAACACACCCCTCCAGGTCTCACTGTCATTGCCCACGTGAGCATTGAAGTCTCCCAGCAGAACAAGGGAGTCCCCAGGAGGTGCACTTTCTAGTACCCCCTCCAAGGACTCCAAAAAGGGTGGATAATCTGAACTGCTGTTTGGTGCATAAACACAAATGACAGTCAGAACCCATCCCCCCAGACGTAGGCGGAGGGAGGCCACCCTCTCATTCACCGGGGTGAACCCCAACACACAGGCACCAAGATGGGGGGCAATAAGTATGCCCATTCCTGCTCGGCGCCTCTCACCAGGGACAACTTCAGAGTGGAAGAGTGTCCAACCCCTCTCAAGGAAACTGGTTCCAGAGCCATGTGTGAGTCCGACTATTTCTAGCCGGAACCCCTCAACCTCACACACCAGCTCGGGCTCCTTCCCCACCCGTGAGGTGACATTCCACGTCCCAATAGCCAGCTTCTGTAGCCGAGGATCAGACTGCCAGGGTCTCCGCTCTCAGCCACCACCCATCGCACATTGCACCTGACCCCTTTGGCCCCTCCCGCAGGTGGTGAGCCCATGGGAAGGGGGAGCCACGTCTCCTCTTCGGGCTGTGCCCGGCCGAGCTCCATGGGTAAAGGCCACGTCCGGGCGAGGGAACATCAAGTCCATTTCTTTTTCTCATCATAGGGGTGTTTGGGCTGCACTTTTTCTGGTCCCTCACCTAGGACCTGTCTGCCTTGGGTGACCCTACTAGGCCCTGACACCATAGCTCCTAGGATCATTTGGACACTCAAACCCCTCCACCACGGTAAGGTGGCAGCCCAGGGAGGGGAAATATCTATACATAAAAAAAACTACTTGGATCTAGGTTAAAGTCAGGGTGCTGAGGGAGAAGCTGTGGTGTCTGTGTAAATCTGGAGTGGCAGAGAAGTTTGTTAGTCTGGTACAGGACATGTATGAGGACAGCAGGACAGTGATGCGATCTGCTGTAGGAATGACAGATAGCTTCAAGGCGGAGGTGAGAGTTCACCAAGGATTGGCTCTGAGACCCTTCTTATCTGTTCAGATGAGGTCAGGCAGGAATGTAGAAATGTGGTCAGTTTGTCCTGCCTAGCTTTTGGCAACATAACTAAGAGGTCTCTGCGCTGCCTCTCATTCTACAGTTAGAAACTTTAGGAACCACAAGTAAACCTGCAGCATGGGAGTGAAGTGGCCTGTTTGGGAAATATGGAACAATAAGGTCTTTAATATAAATCAGAGCTTGGTTGTTCAGAGCTTTGCATGTTAGAAAAAAAGGTAGATTATATTCTGAATTTTACATTGAGCCTGTGAGAGAAGCTAAAATTCGAGAACTGTAACCTCTCATCAGAACTCTAGTAGCAGAATTTTTAATCAACTTAAGACATTTTTGAGGGTTTTTTTTAACATCCAAATATAAAAATATATATAATAGCCCAATCTAGAAGTGATAAATGCATGGATCAGTTTTTCTGCATTAACAGTGTTATTTGAGAAGAAAGTACTGAATTAATTACATAGTCTAGTCAAACATTTTGTTCATTTTCCAGTTTGGGCCTTTTTACAGATGTATTATTTATAATTTGATTTGATTATTTTGCCTGTGAAATGTGATGTAATTAATATCAGGTAAATATACATACTGAAGAAATCTGATAGTACCTTAAATTGTACAGAAACACAGAACTGAAGTAAATGTATTTATTTAATGTCCAACAGTCTCTAGTGTATCTAAAAAAGTTAAGTCTGGTCCTCTGGATAAAAAAAAAAAAAAAAAAAACTCAACAAAAAAACTGTATAAACGTTTCGTTTTCATCCGAAAGACTTCTTCAGTATGAGGTGCTGTGTTCAGCTCAGTCTTATAAGTGAACTACATGCAGTCACATCTTGTCTCATCTCACTTAAATTTTCCATAATGCTACCAAGTAGCCCATCATTCTGTTGGCATTTATACACAATATTGCATCTGATGGTTTATGGTTACTATTTGTGTTCTCCTATTTCAGATGTAAAGTTGAACACTACAGAGGTTATTGGCACAATGGGGCTGGATTTTGATGTAAAGACATTCTGTCACAATCTGCGGGCCACCAAGCCTCCATATGAGTGCCCCGTGGAGACTTGCCGAAAAGTGTACAAGAGCTACAGCGGCATTGAGTATCACCTCTACCACTACGATCATGATAACCCAACTCCTGCTCAGGTTTTGCCCAATAAGAAGAGGAAGGGACGGCCTCCTCGCGCCTCACTGGCTGGTTCAGGGGATACGGATGACGGTGGAGGCAATGGAGGTGGAGGACCAGGTCTTGTAAGGAACGCACCATGTAGCCCCAACCAGTCAGAGCGCTCTCACTCCCCTGGGAGAGATACCATGACCTATGCCCAAGCACAGCGTATGGTGGAGCTGGAAATCCAGGGACGTGTTCACCGTATAAGCATCTTTGAGAACATTGATGTGGTGTCAGAGGAAGACAGCGATGCAGAGGATGCACCGCCATCTGGAACTGGTAGCTGTGGAGGAGGTGTGTGTAACGGTAGTGACAGTGGAGCTGGAGGCAGCGAAGTGGTAGGAAGCGGTAAGGATCGTTCAGATATTCCATCCTCTAATGGGGGCAAAGCCACGCCGAAAACTGGGAAGCATAAGAGTAAAGATAAGAAAAAGGATGGCTCATCTTATCACAACCCTCAGTCTGGCCTTGCTGTCAAGCTCCCAGAGGCTGTGTTTAGAGAACTGGACCAAGAAAGACCTGACGCCCCTCTCCGTCCTTTATCATACTACAGGTCTGTAAATAAATAGCCATAAGAATGTTAAGAAAACAGTATGGCTGTCACCATAACAAGCTTATTTGCAAAGATTGTTTTCCAAATCTTAAGCATTTGTATTTCTATCAAACCCTTTTTCGTTTGTTCACTCTCCTGTCTGAACTTAAGGTACATTGAGAAGTCAGTGGAGGAGCTGGATGAGGAGGTAGAGTATGACATGGATGAGGAGGACTACATTTGGCTTGGCATCATGAACGACAAGCGGCGGCGTGATGGCGTGACACCCATCCCTCAGGAGGTTTTTGAGTATCTCATGGACCGCTTAGAGAAGGAGTCCTACTTTGAAAGTCACAACAAGGTACCCATGAATCCACATACAAGGACCAAGATGCTATTTTAAATGTTTCATTTAACTCTGATGTGTTTTTCTGCTCACTCTCTCAGGCAGACCCCAGTACCTTGATTGATGAAGATGCTGTTTGCTGTATTTGTAATGATGGAGAGTGTCAGAACAGCAATGTGATCCTGTTTTGTGACATGTGCAATCTGGCAGTGCACCAAGAGTGTTATGGTGTGCCCTATATCCCCGAGGGTCAGTGGTTATGTCGGCGCTGCCTGCAGTCACCAAGCAGAGCTGTGGACTGTGCTCTGTGTCCTAACAAGGGAGGTGCTTTCAAACAGACAGACGATGGACGCTGGGCTCATGTAGTGTGTGCCCTTTGGATCCCAGAGGTAAATGCATACATTGCTACACACATTTTATTAGAATTGCATAATATTAGTGCAGTTTAGATATTGTGACTGTGAGGACGTGCAGCTATTTTTCACACAACAATTCAGAAAAAGTCAGGATAATGTGGAAAATGTAAATAAATACAAAATGAAATAATTTTCAAATATCATAAATACACTTTTGACTTATAGTGGAACATAGTAAACACATCAAGTATTGAACATAAGACGTTCTATCATTTTTTGGGGGAAAAAGTCATTTTGAATTTGATGGCAGCAACACATCTCTAAGAGGGGACAGAGACAACAAAAGGCTGTAAAAGCAAGTGGTACGAATAAGAAACGGCTGAAGTGGAATTTTGAAACTAATTTGGTTAATTACTTAATTGGTTATTAACTCTCTCAGTTTGGTATCACACTGTTCTATGTCCTCTGGTGAGATGTTGAAGAAATTAATACCTGGAATATTGTTGTGGCAGATTTCCATTAAATCCTCAGTGTTCAAGATTAGGTCCGTATCTGAACACTGAAAACTGGCCTTTGTCAGTAACTTCTTCACCGTCTCACCTATGTCATTACAGGAGCTCTTACCGTGATAAAGTCCTCTTCATGATCACATAAATTTGTAAAACTTTTTATTTGTGTATTGGGCAGCTATCTGTGCGGGAAAAAAATCAATCTATCAACCAACTATTGATATTTAATTTCCCTTTGGGAATAATAAAGTATTTTTGAATTTGAATTTGAACTTTATTTGTGCACATAGGTAGATTTAATGAGCTCAGTTACAATGCCGGTCACTGAGGGCACATCCATTCATCACAAATGATGGATTCATTTTCATATCTTGAAATTGTGTTTCAAAATATGGAATGACAACACTTAAAACAGTATGCACAGAAACTGTTGAATATTCCCTAATGTCACCAACAACACACATTTTGTTCAAGATTTCAATCAGCAGATCAGATATGCCACAAGGGGATGTAATGTCACTTGTTTATTTCCCAGTAGAAATTCTGACTAGCATGCTGTACAGCATATGATAAATTTTCTTTAGTCACCTTGCAGTATTATAATCATCTAACAGTGTCATGTTCTCCTTTAGTTCCTTCAAATATAAACTTTAACTTTGTCTGTAAAACTATGCCTGGTGATCTTCACTTTGGTGTCAAAATGTGCCATCTGGTAGCAAATAGAAAAGTACTTAGCTATTTCTTTACTGCAGTGGTGCTTGAAAGTTTGTGAACCCTTTAGAGTTTTCTATATTTCTGCATAAATATGACCTAAAACATCATCAGGTTTTCACACAAATCCTAAAAGTAGATAAAAAGAACCCAGTTAATGAGACAAAAACATTGTACTTGGTCATTTATTTATTGAGGCAAATGATCCAATATTACATATTTGTGTAACTCTCCCTGTGTTATGGTAAATGGACTGTACTTATCTAGTTCTTTTCAATCTGATCATGATACTCTAAGCTCTTTACACTACAATCTGCACTGTCATTTACCCATTCATACAGCAATCTACTATATCTATACAAAGAATAATCAGAGCTTTATCACATTCATGCACCGATGGGACACACATCAGAGGCAATGAGGGGTTCAGTGTCTTGCCCAGGGACACTTCGGCATGTGACTACTGGTGGGATCGAACCTCCAACTCTTGCATTACACACACACACACACACACACACACACACA